TGAGCATGCTGATTGGCACTAGGCTGCTAATAAATCTGCCAATTCTTTTTCCTGTCAATATTTCCTGCTAGATAATAATTACATGTATCAAATTATATTGAAGCAAACTACCATACAAGATAATTTATAGGCAGGAGTAATACTTGGCAAATTTGCATGTGGAAAGAAATTGGTGGATTTTATATTGGAGAATTTGTGCCACGTGCCATTGAGCATGCTCAGATTGAAACAAAATGGCGGATTTTATATTGGCGATTTCTTCATAGAACCTCCAATTGCCAATATCGATTCCCCGCCAATAAATCATTTTGTACCGTATTATTTTATTTTATTTAATATTTCATTCATTTTCTTCTAGTGTAATAAGAAGAGGATTGTTGATTATCCCAATATTTGGGGCTACTTGAGGGACCTGTACAACACTCCTGGGTTTGGCAGTACCACCAATAGGTATCATATTGAGCACCACTATCAAGTAAGAGCGCACCATTTGTCTGTAAATATATCTACATTGTATTACACAAAGTTTTTGATGGTTATAGATTTTGTGGATTTTGTGATTTGTTAAAGCTAGTTCACAAAAATATCCTGTACTATAGCTCATAGTTTTTTCCAAAAAATGGCCCCGAAATTGTCCCCAGTTTTTATTACATTTTCTGATACATATTGACATCCTTATGCTGTGTAGAAAAGTTTATGCTGATTTCGACTGAAATTTTTCGAGTTATGGGCATTTTAAGAAATCATCAAAATTCTGAAAAATACCCAAGGCTATATATAGCCCATGGTTTTTCCCAAAAAATGGTTCCAAAATTCCAAATTTTTATTACATTTTCTGATACATATTGACGTCCTTATGCTGTGTAGAAGTTTGAGCTGGTTCAGACTTTATTTTTTAAAGTTACAACCGTTTAAAAATAAGCCAAAATATGAAAAATACCAAAGGCTATAGCCCATGGTTTTTTCCAAAAAATGGCCCCAAACTTATTCCCAATTTTTATTACATTTTCTTATACATATTGACATCCTTATGCTATGTAGAAAGTTTGAGCTGATTCCGACTTCATTTTTTAAAGTTACAACCATTTAAAAAAATGAACCAAAATAAAAAAAATACCCAAAGCTATAATAGTATAGCCCATGGTTTTTTCCAAAAAATGGCCCCAAAATTGTCCCCAATTTTTATTACATTTTCTGATACATATTGACGTCCTTATGCTGTGTAGAAAGTTTAAGCTGATTCCGACTTCAATTTTTAAAGTTACAGCCATTTTAAGAAAACATCAAAATTCTGAAAAATACCTAAGGCTATAGCCCATGGTTTTTCCCAAAAAATGGCCCCAAAATTATCCCCAATTTTTATTACATTTTCTGATACATATTGACGTCCTTATGCTGTGTAGAAAGTTTGAGCTGATTCTGACTTCAATTTTTTAAGTTACGGCCATTTAAAAAAATGAGCCAAAATATGAAAAACACCCAAGGCTATAGCCCATAGTTTTTCCAAAAAATGGCCCAAAATTATCCCCAATTTTAATTACATTTTCTGATACATATTGATGCCCTTATGCTGTGTAAAAAATTTATGCTGATTTCAACTGAAATTTTTCGAGTTACGTACGGCCATTTTAAGAAAACGTCAAAATTCTGAAAAATACCCAAGGCTATAGCTCATGATTTTTTTCTGAAAAATGGCTCCAAAATTACCCCAAATTTTTATTACATTTTCTGATTTATATTGATGTACTTATGGTGTGTAGAAAGTTTGAGCTGATTCCGACTTCAATTTTTCAAGCTACGGCCATTTAAAAAAATTAGCCAAAATCTAAAAAATACCCAAGGCTATAGCCCATGATTTTTTCTGAAAAATGGCTCCAAAATCACCCCAAATTTTTAATACATTTTCTGATTTATATTGATGTACTTATGCTGTGTAGAAAGTTTGAGCTGATTCCGACTCCAAATTTTCGTCAGTCAAAAATTTGTCAAAATCTTAATTTTATGTTAAAATTAATTTTCGTCAATGAAATTTTTGTCATTTTTGTTATTAATCCGCATATTACCCACATAGAACAAAAATTTTGTCTGTTAAAAAATTCATCAAGCAAAAAATATTGATGAAAATTTGGAGCTATATGGTACTAGATCTACATGTAATTCAAATCAAAAATGTTAATTTTTAAAGCTGCTCAAAAATCACATTATAGTACAGGATCATTGACCAAATTTAGTCAAAAATGGCCAGGAGAGAATTTTTAATAATTTGTTTCCATATATGGCTAGTTATAGGGACCAGATAAACTAAAATTGTCATCCAGAAAACCTGTTTCTGAAGTTTTACGGTTTCAATTTTATTGTTTATAAAATCAATTGTGCTTCCACATATACCTTTCATATTAAGGGATTTAATAATGTCGTTTTCACCTATTTTTGTTGTAGCTACACAAAAGAAAGAAATCTGGAAACCATGAAACCAAAAACCAAGTAATGATATTTGAGTTTTATAGTTTCAGGTTTCTGCCTTAGAGTCTGTTGCATATGTACACATTAATGTACGACATATGCAACAGGCTATAAGGTAGAAACCTAAAAACTACAAAACCAAAAACCTAAACATGTACATTTTGTACATATACAACAGACTCTAAGATAGGACCTGAAAACTACAAAACCAAAAACCCAAATATGCACATGTACAATAGATTCCAAGGTGGAAACCTAAAACTAAAAAACTAAAAACTAAAAAACGTATATACATTGAACAGTTAAAAGCCAAAAAACATAAATGTTGTAAACAAAACTACAAATAATTGTATACTAAGATGGTTTAAAGTGAAACATCTTCATTTTAGTACAAAGTATGACATTAGTTGACTATTGTATATTTCTGTGGATTTTCAGTCTTATGGTTTTGAATTAACAAAAGCAAAATGAAAAAATAGTTTGACATTTAAATTGCATTAGAAATGTAGAAATAATAATGCAAAACTTTTAAAACAACAAAAACTGGTTTTACATCTCACAATTTCTTATTGAGGGGTCCCTATAACTTGCCATGTTTATTTGTTTCTGATATATACATGTTTTTATGTTATATAGAAATTTTCAACTCATTTTGGTCAAATTTAATTTTTTACGAATTTTTAAAGTTGCTAAAAATGAGGCCAAAGTCCTTGTACTATTATAATACTGGGTCATTGGCCAAATTTCATCAAAAATTACTATATATGAGAGAATTTTTATTTTTGTAATTTTTTTCTGATATACAGTACTTGTTTTTATGTTATGCAGTGAAGCAGAAGAAAACTTGTTACTAGTAGATGAATCAGCTGGAGCTATTGGTTGCTCTGTTACTGATAATATGGTGGAGGAACTAACAAGAGGAGACAAAGGAACAATTGATAAACTAATAATAGAATTAAAGTGAGACTATTAATTAGTGAGTGTGGTTGGCCATGCCGATTTCCTTCTCTCTCTAGTCTCGTGGAGGATGAGCCTTCAAGCACTTTTAATGATTTGAGTACTTTAATGTCTAAATTAAGAATAATTATGTCAGCAGTGACTTGCATTTGTTGTATTTTTATTAAATACTGTAGGGTTGGTAAAATTTTATGGTGTCTAAATTTCATACTTGCTTGAACTTTTTAAAAATTTATTTCTTAATCTCTAACAAAACACATTTTGGTATTGAATTGAGTGTTTCATCATAGATAGACTGTACTATGGCTTAATGTTCATCATCTGATGGTTAATGTTCATAGTTAATCACAAAAACTGACACCTACCAAATTTGGGTGGATAAAGAAAATTTATGACGTAGAATAAAATTTAAATTTAATTTACTTTTTACATAGTATTTACATGATTTATTGGCGAGGGTAATATTTGGATTTGCCTGTGGAAAGTTATTGGTAAATTTTAAATTGTCAATTTTGTGTCACATGCCATTGAGCATGCTCAGATTGAAACAAAATGGCGGATTTTATATTGGCAATTTATTCATAAAACCACCAATTGCCAATATTAATTCCTCGCCAATAAATCATCTTGTATGGTATGTGACTATCAGTGTTTACAATAACATAATAGTGACGCATTCCATCTTTTGTTTTGGCCGCTTATAATAAGATTAATTAGATACAATAAGAACTAAAGTCACAAAAAGGTTGACTAGTACCAGTTCACTATGTCTTCTATGCGGTGATAGTTGGAATAAGTATTAATACAAGTTTCTTTGTGTTGATAGTCTAAATTGAGCTCTCTTATTTTTGTATCATCTGATAATGACCGGAAAATGTGTAGTACCGACTCAGTAGACAATGAAGTATGCCTTAAATCCAGTACATTTAGTGATGATTTATTGAGGAGGAGGTGAGACAGAGCCCGTCCACTAGTAGAAGTGATGAGTGGATTATTATTGAGGTCTAATGTGGTAAGTGTAGAGTTGTATTCAAGTGCCTTACAGATTTTAATAACTCCTCTATCACTAATGGAGTGGTACCTGATGACTAGCCCGCATAATCTTTTATTATTAGCCAGTAGCATGCACAAGTACTGGATACAATCATTAGTTAATGGAGTGTACTGTATCACAAGGCTTCTTAGGGTTAGTTTCAGTTTAGTTGATGATAGTAGTGATATTGTACTAATAGTAGATGAGGAATTGAGATCAATCACCTGCTCTTTACTATTAATATCACGAATAGCTTCTGTACACTGAGATCGAGATGGATATGAAAGGGATATCCAGTCCCTGTACTTGTCCACTTTCCCAATGACTCCTAATATTAACGAGACACCAAAGGTGCGTGGCCTCGCCCCTAAAGCTGCTTGGGATGTGTTATGCTTAGCTAGCCTAAGCCAGTATATTTCAAATGATATAGATCAAAAGTGCTGACAGCCTGGACTAAGCACTGAAGTGTGAAAAGTATGATGGGACTCTAGAATCCCAAAAATTGGTAAAACATGTTCATAAATTCCTATTAGCATCTCAAGATTTATCACTTATTTATACACTATATTTATACTTATTGCACTCTCATTTTAAAACATCATGGGTTTCATAACCACAGCTATTGTTGTGGCCACAA